GCATTTTGTCTTTGAATGGTAGGTAAAAGATAACACTATTAAAAGTGGGAAGGACTCTAATATAGTGTCCATGACAAAGACACAAATATTTAAATATAATGGTACATGTGAAATAGGTGAAATGTAATTACTCTTCTGTGTAATTAGTAATTTTTCCTTTCTGTTTTAAAAATATGACAAATGTACCAACTTTTGGAGGAGTTCTGGGGATCAATCAAGCCATGTAATGCTATAGGAACTGCTGAAGTACTGTAGCTTAATATCCAGCCTGTATTAAGCAGCTCCTGAAAGCATTGTGTAACTTCAGTGGTTCATCAGCTCAAGGAAGGACAATTCTGTCCGCCATTTTTAACAGAGTTGGAAAGTTCCTTGGGGTTGGTCTTCTAGTCCAACCCCTGCTCAAGCAGGAAACCCTGTACCATTTCAGACATATGGTTGTCCAATCTCTTCTTAAAAACATCCAGTGCTGGAGCATCACAACTTCTGGAGGCAAGTTGTTGTACTGCCTAATTGCTCCTACTGTCAGGAAATTTCTCCTTAGTTCTAGGTTGGTTCTCTCCTTGATCAGTTTCCATCCATTGGTTTTGTCCTGCCTTCAGATGTGACGCGTGAGAAAATTGTTGGTTTTCTCAAGCATGAAGAGGTTGATCCTCCTCTTCTTTGTGGCAGCCCCTTAGATATTGGAACACTGCTTTTATGTCACCCCAATCCTTCTTTTTTTATCAAACCAGACATAGCCAATTCCTGTAACATTCCTTCATATGTTTTAACTTTGTCCTAAACATCTTTGTTATTCTTTTAGTAATAGGCAGTATGTTTGAAAGAATGAGTTCTAACTTATATGTAAATTTGAAAGAGAGAGTTAAGAACAGAACTCATTTTTAACCTGGGAAATGTCTGATTGATTTATTATTGGACACCCATTCAAATCTTGTGTTGATTTGAATAGATAAAAAACAGGCACAAAACTTCTTTGTGATAAAACATTCATTGCTGTGATTTCCTCTTTGAACACTTTGAGCTGAGCATGAAGCTATAAATCCTAGTTGTAATCAACATGAATCACAGCATACCCCAGGTGGTCCTTAGCCTGGAAATATTGATAGTATATAATTAAATTGTTTTAATAGTTAAAAGTTTAAGCCATATTTAAGATCCCGTCTAAGTATCACCAATTTCAATTGGTGAATTGTTACAGTGTAAAGCATTGAATATAATCTGAGATATTAAGCAGATACAAAGGTAAAACTTCATACAAAGTATATATTTTTTTCTCTTCCCCATATTTACCAAAGTTTGAAAAAATAGCATTCACAGAGGCAGGCAGCCACCTTGGTGATCCCTGGCTAACACATACCATATGCTAAAAAACAAACAAAACAAAAGTTCAATAAAATTAAGATTTTGTAATTGGAAAGGACCATTCTTTCTTATTTACAGTATATCATTAAGATAATCTTTATAAGTTAGTTGATAGACAATTGGTAAATTGTACTTAGATGGGAATGCTTTGTTAGTCAGATTGGATTAGTGTTTCTCAACCTTGGGAACTTTAAGAAGTGTGGACATCAACTTCCAGAATTCTCCAGCCAACATGGATTCAGAGACTACATTTAACTATAGCACTGTTTCTCAACCTTGGTAACTTATAACAGGGATCCCCAACCATTGACAAGCACTGGTCCATGGCATGCCAGCAACCGGACCCCACAAACAAGTGAAATCCCATCTGTGGGATGCGGGCAGCATACAAAGCCACACCCCCTAAAGTCCGCAGAAAAAAACTTTCTCCATGTAACTGGTCGCTGTTGCCCAAAGGTTGAGGGCCACTGACTTATAAGATGTGTGGACTTCAACTCCCCAGGAGGTTGGCTGGAAAATTCTGGAAGTTGAAATCACACATTTTATATAGTTGCTAAGACTGAGAAACACTGCTACATCAGATGAAGACCCAGTATATGCAGTCAGATGATATGCTAAGCTTGATATTTTTCTCCTAGAGTTTAGCATTTGTATGAAGCCAACCTACTTGGTGGGGGAACAATCAATATGAGAAAATAATTCTCCTCCCATAAATCTAGTTAATCCGGACTGGGTTGCTTTGTGTGAAGGATGCCTAATATCATCCTTCCAGATAATCACCCTTAATTCTTTTATGACCTTGGTACATCCATGATTCCAAAAAGATGAAGGACCATTTATTCCTCTTCCTGAAATTCCCTAAGTTCATAGGTGCTAGGGATATGGCAGTCCATTGTGGTTTCTCCTGTTCAAATATTTTTGAAACAGCACAAAAATTGTAACAGCAAACAATAACAGCAAAAATTTGTAGGGTGAAAGTGTTCAAGCTAAGGGATTTGCCAGCTGATGGGACTTGAGGGAGTAAATTGAGGGAACTGAGAGCAGGATGGAGCCCATTAAATGGCTTGTGTGATGTTTTGTTGCAGGGATGGGGAGAGAGGGAGGCTATTTTATTAATTTATTATTTGATTATTTTCTTCTATTCATTTTATTTTTTAAATATGATGTTTTTATATTCAGGTAAACCGCCTTGAGTCACCATGCACGAATAAATTCTCTAAAATAAATAAATAAAAATAAATACATTTCTATTGCTGTTCCTATTCTTTAGAATGTCCTACTTGCACTTCAAAGTGCTTCATACCTCTTGTTCTTTAGGAAACTTGCAAAAAATCTTCCTCTTCCAATTGTCACAAGCTGGGGGGACAACACATATTTATGTTGTGCCGGTGGCACATATTTTTTAGGGATCTTGACTTTGTTCTTTTTGCATTGTTCATGTTTAGCTGCCTATAGCCTCAGGGAATGGTTGTCCTATAAGTATAGTAAAATGAACAAGCAACCAAAACTGCTGAAACACATCATAAGACAAAAGGGGGAGGAAAGGAATGATGGAAGGAAGCTTGGCAGTTTACTATCCATCTTTTAGCCACAAATCCAGAGTATACACCTAATCCTATCGGTGTCTTTAGTTTTGCAGCAACAACATCCTTTCTACTTGCCGTTTTGCTGCCGTTTTGCTTCTATATCTGAAAAAATGTAAGATGCATTCCTTTTGGGGGCAGGGGATAAAACTTCTCCAAAATCTTGCTAGAAATTGTTCCTCCTTCATAACCATTTCTGGCTATTGAGCAATATGGCTAAAATTACTATTGTCCATTAGATTTTAGGATATTAAAGAAAGACCAATGGCTAATTAGTTCAGCAACAGATAAACTTGTAACTGAATGTGATCTTCAAATAACTTTTAACGCCTACCAAGTTTTCACCACTCCTTTACAATTTTTTTTTCAAAGATCTGCCTATTACTCTTGGTGTCGTGTTCCATGTTTTTAAAATGTCCAAGTACCCCCAGACAGTCTTTCTGTTTAAAGACTGCAGATGGTATTAGAAGGAGTGTGCTTTATGACAAGCTGTCTATAAGAGATTTTTCAATTGTTCATACTGTATTTTACCAATTCCAGATTTTGTTGGAGTTAGCAGGCATACGGAATTTTGTAAATAAAAAAATGAGGTTGCTGGTCTATTGCCTAATGATTACTTATGCAAAATAATGGAAAGGCTAATAAAGTCTGGGTGTTTGAGATTATTTATTAGCTTCCATTTAATAAGTGTATTTGATTTTCGCACACTTGGGAAGCCAATGAGTAAGTACTTTTATTCAGTAATCTATGATGAACTGCTTTCCTGCAGTATGTGAAGTGCTGGTGCTCTGCTTTTTTCTAGTTCAGTGGAACAGTTTATAGCTTTTAGTAACATTTTCATGGAATCCCTGAGCATATTTGATTTCAGAACAGGAGGCAAGTGTTTGATGTTTAAGGAAAAAACTCAGTCTGTGTTGAAGCCCCTGTTACTGTGACCCAGATGAAAACCCACACTTACTATATATTGGACTAATGGACTTCACTATCTAGGACAGGGGTCCCAACCCCGGGCCATGATCCATACCAGACCATGGCCTATTTGGAACCAGGCCATGGTAGAAGATGGCTGGTGTGCACTTGTGCGTGCATACTGAGACTTCTCAGAAAACAACAACTGAATGAAAAACTGCTGGTGACCTTCTACTGCTGTACCATAGAGAGTATCTTAACTTACTGCACCTCTTTATGGTTTGCCAATTGCACAATGGCAGATAGGAAAGCACTCCAGAGGGTTAACGTCATTGCCCAGATCATTGGTTGCCCTCTCCCCTCTTTGGAAGAGCTTTATAGCTCCCGCTGCCTTAAGAAAGTTCAAAACATTCTCAAAGATCCATCTCATCCTGGGCACCCTTTTTTTGAACTATTACTATCTGGTAGATGGTACAGGATAATAAAATCAAGGACAAATAGGCTGAAAAACAGCTTCTACCCCAGGGCAGTAACTCTACTGAATTCTTCTGTATAGTGCAATATTAATGCAATATCAGAGGTTTTCAATTCAATGTGTAGAATGTGAAGGATGTGTGTTTATTTTCAGTCATAATGTACACTGAAGATATTTAATTTCATTGTATGTTGTACGAGGTGCAATGACAATAAACTAAACTCATGTGAGCAGTGGCCCAGAACACATGCATGCCAGTCCTCTGCTTGCCCCTCCCCCCTCCCCCCTCCCCCCAAACCGGGCTTCCAAGCCGTAAAGGTTGGAGACCACTGATCTAGGATGTCACGAACTTAACTATTCCAGCCCTGAGAAACTATATGATGTTGAAAGCTACTCAAAATCACTTGATGGTGAGATCGGTGGCATGTAAATGTAATAAATAATAGTAATATACATGAAAAGGATATTGTTCTACCAATATGCTACAGTTGTTCAATCACATCTTGCCCAATCTTTATGCATCTCTCTTGGTTTCACAAATATCAGTGAAAAACCTAGAAAACCTTTCAGGATGATAGTAAAACACAGATACTTACAATATATGGCAGTGTTGTTTTTATTATGTATTACTAGTTTGAAATGCCTCAAAGTGAGCCTTGATAAAGAGACAATTATGAATTTTAATAGGATAATGAGTCACATTTACTATAGAAATGTGACAGGGCAACATCTTGAATCATAAATGCCTATAATTCCTTTCCTTGAACCAAAGTTCAGCTTAAAGATTTGGAAACCGGATGACAGCCCAGTTGAAAAATATTCTTTCCTCTAATTCAGTTTTCTACCTTGAAACAAAATCCTCAATACCAGATGGTAACTGTTTGGAATCATACTTATTTCATTAAGTGTACAAATCATCTTTTCTACAGAGCAAGAACTTAAAACAATTGAAAGTAGCATTAACAATTCATTCCAATAGAGAAATTTAATCTCTCCAGGCTTTCTCTCTTAATTCTAATTTCACCACTTGAATCACCACATTTACCATAAAGTCAAATACTTTAAGAATGTCTATTTGATTCATGGATTTTGTATGGACTTCAGCTACAGCATACATGGTAGTCCAAGTTCATGCACGTAAGTAGTTAATGCCAGAAGTTGATCAAGGTGGCAGTGTTGGAAATAGTTGGGGGGGAAAAGACCACAGTAGGCAAAATCAGCACATATAATTGGCCATCCACAAATTAGTCTTTAGATTTTCCAAATACCATTACTTGTTGAAAATGAAAAGATGCTACTTCCATGTTCAATGTTATCCAGTTTTATGGATACAGTCAGTCTTTCCACAATATAAATCATATACCCCTTTTCTAGAGTTACTGTGTTCAATCCAAAAAGTTTGGTCCATCTTAACAGTTATATGCTAATAAATTTTTTGCAACCAGTTTCAATTTACTTGACGTAAATTCAATATAAGGCAAAACACAAAAACCACTATAAGGTAAATGAGGGAAAAGTGGGGGATAGCATGATACTATTGAACGGATTGAAAAGTAAAAGGTAAACTGCTAGGTTTTATCTTGAAGTGATAGATAATGTTGTGGTTTGTATGGAAATATCAACCAATTCCTGATTTTATTTAAAATTATCTGCAGATTTGTCTCAATATTTTGATGGGAACAACAGGGCAGGAAAAAAAGCAAATTTGCTTTATTTACCCAACTGAACACAATGAATTGCAGTTTGGGTAGACCCGTGGGTATACCTGGAGTAATATTTCTCTTACTTTATTCTGTGGTTGCCCTTATTCATATCATTAAGAACTTTGGTTCCGAGTCTGAAGAAATCAACTTATATTTATCCCTTTTGGTTAAATAACAGAATGGATAAAGGGACATTTGTAATTGGCAAACATTACATAGACAATATAGAGAATCTTGATTGGGCCCATCCCTACCCCCAAATAAATTAATTTGTTCTAGGTTAGCAGCCTCTTGCAACTACAAGAGAGGACAATCCATCTCTTCGGGGCATCTTGCAGAGACACAGTTCATAGTAAACCAGTGGTGGGATTCAAATTTTTTACTACCAGTACTTTGGGCGTGGCTTGGTGGGCATGGCACGGGAAGGATACTGTAAAATCTCCAGTCAGAGGTGGCATTTGCTGGTTCTCTAAAATACTCAAAATTTCTGCTACCCGTTCTCCAGAACTGGTCAGAACCTGCTGAATACCACCTCTGTAGTAAACTGATTTAGTTCATGTAATAGGGTGTAATCCAGTTTTGGAGTTAACTGCCAAACATGAGAAATGACCAAATCATTTGTAAACCCCCCCCCCCCACCCCGCTGCTCCAAGACATACACGTGCACATAAATACCAATTTGACTGACCTTTCCATTTCAAGGAGGAAAAGACCACCAAAATCAGACATTTCTACATTCACAAATCATTCCAGCATATACAATACAAACTAACCTAGACATGTTCAGTATTTACTATGCCATTTTAGGTACTTGTTTATAACCAAGCTCTTGTGTGTTCTTCATTTGCACTAACACTTGACAATAATTTGTAAAAACTGGAAAATATTTCCCTATGTTTTTATTTTTGTCTTTTAAAAAGCCTGTGAAATCATGATTTCAATTTCCTCTTCTAATGTTCCTTTTTCTAGAATTATCTGAGAGTTTTTTAGTTAACAACTACTACTTTAAAAACCAAACACTGCTAACTAGAACAGTACTAAGTGGCCAACAGCAGAGAGGAAAGGGAGAAATGATGGCCAAAAATAAAAAGGCATATTTAGAAGCAGTAGCAGATTCAAAAGAGCTTGAATATCTTTTTAAATTAATATAGATTATGTCCAGGCTTCAGATGTACGGTCATGATATCATTTTCTAAGAGGCACATTAAAAGATGTCAATATTCTGTGTAATGTGCCTTTGGGATTCCCCCATAAGGCAAGATGTTTCAATCCTGGCTGTAAAATTTTAGTAGACAGACTTGACAAGAGACCCAATCACAACTGACAAATGAAAAGGAAGAACATACCTAAGACGTCCACTGCAATTTCAGTGGAATTGCTGGATCTATCTATGTAAACCTTGGAAAGCTGCTCTAAATTCTTTCCCAAGTCTATGATAGTTGAACTTCAACTCCTATCATCCCCATCCTGCACTGGCTGTTGTGACAGATGTTCAATCCAGTTGCTCTGGAGGAGGGTAGAATGGGATATCCTGGGCCATCATATAGCTTTACAGAGTAAGTTGGCTAACAATTGGGAATTACCCTTGCCCACATTCTGAGCAAGCCTTATTATCTCTGTCCTTTCCAAAAGACATTAGGCAGGAAGAAGCTCAGCTTTGATCTTTCTTTTTTCTTGTCTGCTGTGGCAGGGAGACCTGCACTGGACTGACACATTGATGCATGCTATAATGACTCCTGCTTTTAAAGACACTGCACTAACGTGAACAAAAAGGAATGTGGGAAAGAAAAAGAAAAAAAAAATAGAAAATCCCCCCAGTCCTTCCAAATCAGCCAAGGTCTCCCAACCCCCTAAAGTTCTGGCCATTAGACTTTCTTGGGTCTGCGTCCAACTTGATAGTAGTAATAAACGCTGATAAGTACAAAGAGGGCTCGGCTGATGAGAAGAAATGTGGCTCCCGTAGACACTTGGCCACTCTCAGCCAAGGTGATTGAAGTCACTGAAAGAGAAAGGAGACAGCTAAAGGCTAAAATAAAACATCCTCACATTTACACCAAGCAAACTACCAACACATTAGCTGTCTTCTAGAACAGGGTTTGCCAACCTTTTGGACCTCAGGGACCACCAAACTCATAATGTTAAATCCCAGGGACCACTAACTAGTTCTGTGGGTGTGGCCTAATTTGTGGGTGTGGCTTGGCGGTCATGTGACTGGCTGAGCATGGCTTGTATGTAAATATTATAAATATTTATACAAATAATGAATTTTTTATTTAAAAAAAGAGCAACTTTTACTCAAAATCAGGCAAAGCAGGCAGGCAGATTGAGTTGCTTAGAGAATCACAGAATCATTCAGTGATCTATCTTTCTGCCATCGGCTACCTGAGTCTGTCACATAAAAGTTGCTTGCTGTGAGGCTGCACTGACTAATAGAACCTTCAGTCCTAAGGGAGTTTTGGCTATGCTTAAAAGCAGAGCTGAAGTTCTAAAGACTAGCTAGAAAGCAAGAAATCTAACCATTTCCTGCTTCCTAGCTAATCTAAATCTCCCAGCCCAGCAAAATAGCTAATGGTCGGGAAAAGGAAAAATAGCAACTTAGCAGGTAAGTTTGCTGGGTAAGGAGTGAGTGGGCAGGGGGGTTTCCCATGGGCCATGTGGGCAGCGCAGCCTGGATTAATTGCTTTGGGGGGGTACTCTGGGGGTGAGATTTCTCTGCAGCCCACCAAAATTTTGTCGTGGCCCATGATCACTGGTGGTCTGTGAGAAAATTTTGGTGGTCCACAGAGAAATGTCCTCCCAAAGCACTCCCCCCCAAAAGCAATTAATCCAGGCTGAACACGAGGCTGCGCCACCCACATGGCCCACCCACCCGCTGGCCCGCACCCGGAGCTGTTCTGGGATGACCAAAGGGCCAGTCCTGTGACTACTGCAACTCTGGAATATGGGACTGACTTTCCCACCAACGTCAGCAAGCTACTGTCAGTCAAAATTCATATTAGTGGTCCACAGGATTAAAAATTATGAGTTTGGTGGTCCCTGAGGTCCAAAAGTTTGGCGACCCCTGTTCTAGAACTCATCTTGAGTTTTAAAAAACTCAGCTTACTGCATTCTTATTTAGCAGGCTGGCCATATTACTTTTGGTTTTGAACAAAGTTAAGCAGATCTATTTGACAATGATGAAAAGGAAGTTGTAGCTAAAATATGAAGAAGGCTGGCCTACAAATGTGCTTTTGCACATATTTGTTTCTTGGAAGAAGGATCCCTATAACTCAGATCACTTTTTAACTCTGTCAGATAAACATTGCTTCAGATTAAGCGATAAGTAGGGAACATTTTAAGGCCAAGGGGAATGATGCAAAAAACCAGGATTCATGGATATAGAATTCATTGATGGCTTAACAGTAATAACCAGAGCAACAAATGAAGGTGACTTTCACTGTTTAAATCTCCCCTTAGACCTGAACATTCAAACCAAAGCAGATTGTATATTTTGCTTGGGATTTTAGTAGGTGTGGAAGCTTTTTAAATTTCATTGTTTTCACCACTTTTTTTTTGTTAACATGAAAGGTTAGTTTTCCCACTGACTTATGATAAGAAACCAATTTCTAAAGCTCTCAGAAAGTGCAAGGTAGACAGGATTTCTGTCATTCGGAATTTTATCCTGGGACAATTGGTTATAAAAGGAGGAAAGCCACACTCATCAGTTGGTGAAGGAATACAGAATGACAAGAATTGGAAGGGACCTTGGAGGTCTTCTGCATATCCCTGCCTGCCCTGAAAGGAAAAAAATGTTTGAAAAATAGATGGAAGGCTTAGTTTTTTTAAAATGAAATTAATCAAGCTTGTGAATTGCTTTGTTTTCAGAGCTTAGATGCTTTGGTAAATTGGGATGAAATAACTAGGCTGCATCGTTTTCTTTTCAGCACTTCTTTGTGAGCAAATGTGAGTTCCAATAACACTGTTGCTTCAAATTCCATGTATTGAGAGTTTTACAGCAACAATTCAGTGCCAGAAAAATAAACACAGATGGCTGATGCCTCATTTAACATCTTTATAAACATAAGTAGATTTTACAAACCAGCTGTAGATTTCTCCAACATGGAGCAAACTCAAACAGAAACATGTTGCAAGTTCAGAGCAGAGCTCCAGTCTTCAGCAAGCAAACAAGTTAGTTTCATCTTCAATAGACAGACTCAGAGCTCAACACAGCTTCAGAGCTGCAGAGCTTAACATAGCTGCAAAGTTGCAGAGCTTAACATAGAACCATGCCTAGGCTACTTTTAGTTTCAGTTTCCAGCCTAGGCTACTTCTAGTTTCAGTTTCCAAAACAGTCCTCATTGGCTGACTTAGTTGCTATGCCTGTTCATTGGATGATCTTGTTACCAAGCTCTATTCCAGTTCATGAATATACTCTTGATACTCTGGTCTCTTAAAACAGTTAAGAAATATCTAGATCGTAATGGGACTGCAGAGAGGGAGGGGGGAGAGGGGGGAGAGAGGGAAGAGAGGGAGAGGGAGGGAATGAATGAATTCCTGTTTCCCAAAAAGCCCCTACTCAGTGGTGGGCTGCTGCCGGTTCTGGCTGGTTCTACCGAACCAGTCGTTTCAGCGATCAGCTGGCCCTCCCCACCTGACCTATCCTGTCCTTTATTTCCATGTCAAACAAACAGATCAAACAGATAATCAGAGTTGGAAGGGACCTTGTAGGTCATCTAGCCCAAGCGGGAGACCCTACACCATTTCTGACAAATGGCAGTCCAATCTCTTCTTGAAAGTCTCAAGTGATGGCGCTCCCACAACTTCCGAGGGCAAGCTGTTCCATTGGTTGATTGTTCTCACTGTCAGAAAGTTTCTCCTTGTTTCCAGGTTAAATCTCTCCTTGTTCAGTTTTCATCCATTATTCCTTGTCTGGCCTACAGGCACTTTAGAAAATAGCTTGACCCCTTCCTCCCTGTGGCAGCCCCTCAAATATTGGAAGACTGCTATCATGTCTCCCCTGGTCCTTCTCTTTACTAGACTAGCCAAGCCCAGTTCCTGAAACCATTTGTTGTATGTTTTAGCCTCCAGTCCCCTAATCATCCTGGTTGCTCTTCTCTGTACTTTTTCTAGAGTCTCAACATCTTTTTTATAATGTGGTGAACAAAACTAGACGCAGTACTCTAGGTGTGGTCTTACTATAGAGTGGTATTAGTACTTCCTTTGATCTTGATAGTATCCCTATGTTAATACAATTTAGGATTGCATTAGCTTTTTTGGCTGCTGCTGCACACTGCTGGCTCATATTTAGCTGGTTGTCCACTAAGACTCCAAGATCCCTCTCACAGTTACTGCTATTGAGCCTGGTTTCACCCAGTCTATATGTGTACTTTTGGTTTTTCTTGCCTAAGTGTAGGACTTTACTTTTCTCTACATTGAATTTCATTTTGTTAGATATGGCCCAGTGTTCTAGTCTGGATCTTGAGCCTATCTTCTTGGGTGTTAGCTATTCCTGCCAGTTTAGTATCATCTGCAAATTTGGTAAATTCCCCTTCTATTCCCTCATCTAAGTCGTTAATGAAGATATTGAAGAACCTTGTGGCACCCCACTGCTTACTTCCCTCCATGTAGACTTAGACTCATTAAGGACTACTCGTTGAGTATGGTTTGCCAGCCAGTTGTGAGTCCATCTAGTGGTGGTGCTATCTATTCCACATTTTTCTAGCTTACTAAGAAGTAGGTTGTGGTTTACTTTGTTGAATGCCTTGCTGAAATCTAAATATATTATGTCCACGGTATTTTGCTGGTGTACTAATTTAGTCACTGTGTTGAAGAATGAAATAAGATTGGTTTGGCATGATCTGTTTTTAACAAACCCGTGCTGACAGCTAGTTATTACTTTACTTGTTTCTAGATGTTGGCAGATCTGTTTTTTTATTATCTTTTCCAGTATCTTCCCAGGTATTGATGTGAGGCTGATTGGTCTATAGTTTCCTGGGTCTGTTTTTTTCCCCTTTTTTGAAGGTGGGAACCACATTAGCTCTTTTCCAGCCCTCTGGTAGTTCCCCAGTGCTCCAAGATTTTTGAAAGATATGGTGCAGTGGTTCTGAGATGACCTCTGCCAGCTCCTTTAAAACTCTGGGATGTAATCCATCAGGCCCCAGTGATTTGTGTTCATTAAGATCAGACAGGTGTTCTCTTACTATTTTTTTTTGCTTATTTTTACTTTTATTTCTGGTCTGTCTTTTACGGTTATGTTTTTGGGTTGAGCTATAGTTTCTTTTTGCGTGAAGACGGATGCAAAGAATGAGTTAAGCAGTTCTGCTTTCTCTCTGTTGCCTGTTACTTCCTTGCCATCTTCTCTCTTTAGTGGACCAACTGTTTCCTTGATTTTTTTCTTGTTATTTATATGTTGGGAGAAACTTTTTTTATTATCTTTGACTTTTGTTGCAAGTCTTTGTTCGTTCTGAGCCTTTGCTATCCTGACTTCGTCTTTGCAGATTCTGGCTATCTGCTGATATTCTGCCTTAGTTGTATGTCCTTCTTTCCAATTTTTGTACTTGTCCCTTTTTTCTTTCAATTTGCCAGAGAGATCTTTGTGCAGCCATGCTGGTTTCTTCTTGGATTTCTTGTTTTTCTTTCTCAGTGGTATTGTGCTGGTCTGGGCTTTTATGATCATACTTTTTAGAGTTTCCCAAAATTCTTGAGTTGTTTTCCCCTTTAGGATTTTCATCCATGGAATCTTTCCCAAGTTATCTCTGAGTTTATTGAAATCAGCTCTTTTAAAATCCAAGACTCTGGTGTCATTATGTTCTGTTGCTTGTGTTTGTGTTATGCTGAATTCTAGTATGACATGGTCACTCTCACCCAAGGTTCCTGCAGTTTCAACTCCCTCTATCACTTCTTCTCTGTTTGTAAGAATTAAGTCCAGTATGGATGTCCCTCTAGTTTGACCCTCTACCTTTTGGACAACAAAGTTGTCAGCTAGGTTGGTTAGGAATTTATTTGATTTCTCACTTGGTGCAGAATTAGTTTTCCAATTGATATCAGGATAATTGAAGTCTCCCATTACTACTGTTGTGTGTTTCCTGCATATGTTTGTTAGTTGGCTGGCAAAAAGGACATCTATATTTTCTGCTTGATTGGGTGGCCGATAATGTACACCTATGGCCATGTCATTCTTTTTTATTTTTATATTGACCCATATGCATTCTAGGAGGTTTTCATCTTTGGTTTCATGTATTTCTGTAGCAATATAGTGGTCCTTTACATACAGTGCAACTCCACCTCCTCTTTTATGGGGTCTGGTTTTTTTTGAATAGTTTGTATCCTTCTACCAGTATGTTCCAGTCATGGGTTTCATCCCACCAAGTTTCTGTTATTCCAACTATATCATATTTACCTTCATGTATTCGTAGTTCGAGTTCACCCTGTTTGTTCCCCAGACTTTATGCATTTGTATATAGGCACTTGAGATCTTTATGTCTGACACTGTGTTTACTGTCTACATAACCTGTGTTGTGCCTGCCTGCCCCTACTATCTTGCCACCTGTTTGATTAGTGCACATGGTATGGCACTCACTTTTAAATGCTTGGTTTTGGTTGGCATCAAGGTTGGTAATCTTATGTGCACAAACATCTATTTTGCAATCACTGGTATCCTTATTAGTTTTAGGTTGCTGGGGACAGAAATGTTCTGAATCCATTAATTCTCTGTCCCTGCTGTTCAGTTTAAATATTTATCCAGGAAATGTGTGAATTTAATGCCAAGTAACTCAGTCCCTTTCTTTGATGGATGCAAACCATCTCTTTTGTACAGTTTTTCATTGGACCAGCTGCAGACATCATGGCTAATAAAACCAAAGCCTTCCCTTTTACACCACTCCTTTAGCCACACATTAAACTCCGCTACATGCTGCCCTTTCCCTTTTTGTTCCTTGTATACTGGTAGAACCTCTGAAAAGATAAGCCTACAGCCCATATTACTAAGTTCATACCCCAAGCTCTGGAAGTCTTTCTGAACAGAAAGTACATCCTTCTGAGATAGATCATTTGTACCAAGATGTATAATAGCATCAACATCACAGTCCTTGCTGGCATTCTTGACTATCTTAAGAATACGCTTCTTGTCTCTGCTGGCAGTAGCACCTGGTAGACACTTGATCTCTTTCAAAACCTCAGTATCCTTTCCTAAATTTACATCCCTTACAATTGAGTCCCCAACCAGAAGGTGGCTTCTCTTTTTGGATGTCTTGCTCTACTTGTGTGACTGGTGCATAATACCTGATTCACACTTTCTCCTTTCCAAAGTAAGTTCTTCTAGGATCATGATCCCCGGCTTACTTGAGTTATCATTATCACAACTACCTTGACCTGTCACTTTAGTGTCCCTATTAAGGTCAGCAAGGGCACTGTATCTGTTATGCTGGTACACAGCAAAAGCTTTGTGTTTATGGTCCACAGCTCTCACCCTGCCAGATCCCATGGTTGTCCATACTGCCCCTTTCCTGTAGGCTCTTTGTGGTAGTGGGGGCTGGTAGCATGGCAGCTCAATAGATGGCTGGATTGGGCACCTAATTTCTGCTTGGAGAGCACAAATTAGAGATTCTAGATAGGTAATCTGTCCATGTAGACTGGTAATATTTTTACAAAGAGGACAATATCCAAGTTTGAAAAGAGTACTGTGAAAGACAGCTGTAAAACAAGTATTACACTGAACTAAGCCAGTCATTTTGAAATAAAATAAAATCACAATCTCAAGCGCACTTACCCTAAATGTCTTATTGGTATTCTTAGTTTATAGTTATATGATTCGCGGCCATTAGGTGTGCGGGCTGCTATCTTTCTCCTTTCTACTCACCTTCTGCTTCCTTCACAAGCAGCCAGCAGCTCCTCCCACAACCTC